TGTTCTGTAAAGGTTCTCACACTTCACCAAACCGACGAAAACTGACCAAGAAGTTTGGTTAGTTATGTTCAGTTTAAATTGATTATTCAATGAGTTTTGGTTACTGGAAAGTATGGTTCAGTGATTTCTGTTTTTCTAATTGGGTTCGGTCGCCCCTAGTCTACATGTATGTTTTTAATAATATAGAGTATTATTATTTTTATTTATTTAATTTTCTTTATTCAGGAATATAATAACAAGGTTGAGTAAATAGCTTTAAAACTGTGGTAAATGGTCTTAAAATTGTCCATCCTGTGCATCTGCACTAGTATGCATTATTGTAAGTAATAAAAAAGTTAAAATATTTTTTACGTATTGAAAAATAACATTTCTTTTACTTCTTAATAATATAAATTATATATATATATTTTTTTTATGAATGGACAATTTATAATATTTGCCACAATTACTCAACTTTACCATAGGTTGTTTAGAAATCCAAATAATATATTGCAGTAAGGGGTAAGTAATAAAATATACAAAAAAGTATTTTGTGGGTATTATTTATAACCAATGTTTAAAAATGTAAAATTGTAATATTTTCCTTAATTGTAAACAGTAACACTAAAATAAAAGTTAATTTATAACGTGAGAAATACACATACAAGTCACATGTTAAACTATTATATATCAGCTGTTGAAGCCTATGCTGTACGAGAGGCTGTCTACAAATAAATAAAAATAAAAGTTAATATTAACATTAATGTTCAACACTATTTTTTATATTAATCAATATCCGTTCATTCCTTTAATTTATACAATTTATTATTATTGACTCGTACATGACATATAGTAGTAAATGCATTAGACATTTCTCCTTTAGCTTGGAAATACGGAGTGAAATTCGAACTTGGGTTAGCCTCCGGCATAGTCCAACAACGCTCAAGGGTGCCCTCAAATGGACTAGAAAAGAAGGAAAGGGGACGACTTGGAGAGCCAAATTGAAGAAAAGTGGCGCTAGCGACCACCGTGTCATTCATTTGGTATGCTAAGAATCGATTGATTTTTGAGAATGAAAGCCAACCTCCAAGCCTCGTGATTAGAAAGGTAAAGACTCATGTATATCGCTCCATGTTTCTTCTATTTCCGAGAGTTCTTGCTGAATTTGAAAGGAGGTGTCTTGGTCTTGAATGCCCGAGCTCGCCACCTCACTGCTAGCGCCGCTAAGGTTGTGCTAGCGCTGCTAGCTTCCCCGTGGAATTTCATTGTTTTTGCTTCTAACGAGTGAGTAGCCGACTTGTGGTTGTCCTCGTTATTTCTTGTCCTTGCAAGTGAGGAGTCAACTTGTGGCTACCCGCTTTGCTCTTGTAAGTCGATCCTGTTGTATGACTTTCAGTTTTGATCAATATAAATTTATTTAACGATAAAAAAAATGCACTAGACATTTCAAAATATGTACATAACTTTTTCACTCACAAGGCCGGGTCGGGCCGAGTAAGATTTTGGGTAGCATAAAATTCAATCAAGTGAAAAACCCACGGCTAGGGCTGTAAACGAGCCGAGCCGAGCCAAGCTCGAGCTTAGCTCGAGCTTAAGGTGTTTGAGCTCGAGCTCGACTCGTTAAGTAAACAAGCCAAAAATCGAGCTCGAGCTCGGCTCGTTAAGGCCTCGAGCTCGAGCCTTAACGAGCCAATCTCGAGCTTTAACGAACCGAACTATAAAAAATTACATAAATTCTACTTTTCGAGTCTTATCGAGCCGAGCCGAACTCGACTCGTTAACCAAACGAGCTTTAAATGAGTTTGAGCTCGGCTCGTTAAGGCTTTAAACTCGAGCCGAATCGCGCTCGAGCCGAGCCGAGTCAGACTCGTTTAATTTAACAACACTACTCGCGGCAAACCCAAAGGGTGGTAAATGCTTAACGGGCAAGGGGTACGACTAAAGTGAAAAACATACGGGTCGGGTACGAGTTTAACATAACCCGCACCCGATCCTATCCTTTACATCTCTACACGCCTCTCGAATTCTAGAGTAAAACGCTGCAAGTTAAACCCATAGAAAGTGCAACCCTTAAACCCTAGGATCTCTTACTTCTAGACTATTCGCTTAGGACCATTTTAAGCATACAAACAACTGTTCCACTGAAACCAAATCCAATCTCACTTCTGCATTGCACCTCTGTTCTCTCCGAAAGATTAATATCTTGTCTGCATATTTTCTCCTGCAGTTCATACAGTTTCTTCCGAGACATTGCAGCATGTACCGCTTTGCAGCCAAGCTTGCCTCAAAAGCCAGGTAGTCAAGAACTCTTCCTGGAACTATTGCGTGCATGCTTTAACTGTTATGCTTGACTCTTTTTTGATATATGGGTCTAATTATAGATTCATTTTTCTTTATTGTGCAGGGTTGCTGGAAACAGCAGCCAGCAGGTACTTTTTGAACGAAAAGGCTTCAAATTTTGATTCTTAATGGATTTGGTTTTTCTGTTTTCAAACATAAATGACATTGTTATGATTTATATGTATTGGGATATGGGTTTTGGTGGTTGTTGCAGATTGGTAGTAGATTGGGTTGGAACAGAAACTATGCTGCAAAAGACATTAGATTTGGTGTGGATGCAAGGGCTTTGATGCTTAAGGGTGTTGAGGATCTTGCTGATGCTGTTAAAGTCACTATGGGTCCAAAGGTAACATTTTGTCATTGCTACTTCTTTACAATTGTCCGTGTGTTTGTGGTTGCGGTTGCACTTCACATCATTTAAATAGTTTAAATTGACAATGTGATGTAAATGTCTGTAACTGCTTGGTCTCTTGTTCGTTTATGTTTGATCTTCTACGCATTGCCATTATCGTGACTTCCATAGAACTTTTCTGGTGTGCTGTCCTTGATTTGTGTTTAATTCTTAACTTTTCTTTTGTATATAGATTATGAATTAAGTAGTATTTATTGGTGATTTTTTCTTCTTTTAGGGGCGTAATGTAGTGATTGAACAAAGTTGGGGTGCTCCTAAAGTAACAAAAGATGGGGTGACGGTTGCAAAAAGCATTGAGTTCAAGGACAAGGTTAAGAACATTGGTGCAAGCCTAGTGAAACAGGTCGCCAATGCTACAAACGATGTTGCTGGTGATGGTAAGTTGTAACTTTTTTAAATTTGTAAATGCACTTTTTTTTTTAATCCTAAATTGTGTTAATTGTGTCTTCAGGTACTACCTGTGCCACTGTCCTCACTCGCGCAATATTCACCGAAGGCTGCAAGTCTGTGGCAGCTGGCATGAATGCCATGGACCTAAGACGTGGCATCACGATGGCTGTTGATGCAGTAGTTACAAACTTGAAAAGTAGAGCAAGAATGATCAGCACGTCCGAGGAGATCGCTCAGGTTTGTTTGTGGTGAACTCTATTTAAATAATGTCCATTAAGAGACGATAGGGTAGTGTTTTAATGAGTGTCATGTGTCAAATAGGGAAGAGAATGAATGCTCGATTACTTTCTGAGCCGATGTTAGATGTTTCACCTAGGAAAATGGCATTCTATCCCGTTTCAACTGTTAGCTTTCTAATTTTGTTGTGCATCTGTAGGTTGGAACAATTTCTGCTAATGGAGAAAGAGAAATTGGTGAGCTGATTGCAAAGGCTATGGAGAAAGTAGGGAAAGAGGGTGTTATAACAATTCAA